TTCATTTTGAGTGGACCACGAATGCGGTTTCTTCAGACCTTACTGGAACTCTTTTTGAAATTACCTCTGAAATCATATCAGAATTTATCTATACTGATCCATACCAAGGACATTCTTGGATTCTTCTTTGTAGTCGTGCATGTACCGGTGCATGTAGTCGTGCATGTACAAGTGGATTACTTGCGCCTACTTCTTCTACTATATATCTTCTTACTAGGATTTATAATGGATATGCTATATATGAATTGTGTTTGCATATTAAAAGCTTGCTTCAAACAAATCAACGATAATCTGATGAATCTACGAGAACTCGTGACAAATGGTAAGCCATATGTCTTGAGCGATACCTGTCACGAGGAGAGAAATCCATTCCTACTGATGGAAATCATAGCTTTGAAGAAGCAGCACCTGGCAATCAGCGACGCAGTACAGATGCTAAAAATGGTTTTCAGTTTACAAATTCTTTCTACGACAGTTATGACTTTCACTCAAGTCACCTTCAATCTGTACTTTTACTTAATGCAAATAAAAGCGGATGCGTCTATGAGCAATCAGGAACGACAGTTTTATTACCTGTATTTTATTACAATTGCAATATATTACCTTATAAAAATAGTGTTGATAGTATGGGCTTGCGAGACCGGCAAGACTCAAGCCGTAGAGATCAGGAGTACCGTTCATGACGTGTTCAACAGCATCAGCAATAAGCAAATAAAATACGAGGTAGATTTAAACAATTTACAACATCAGTGGCATATTTTATATATTTTTCTAATTATGTCCCGCGTATACTAATGCGATTTTTACTACAGCAATTTACAAAATTCATAATTGCACCTGTTAATATTTAACAATTTTCTGATTGGACGTTGCAGATGCAGCTATTTTCCTTGCAATTATCGCATTGCGAAAATACATTCTCCGCAAAAGGGCTTAATGTGGACGCTACGCTCCTCACTAAGGTAAGTGATGAATCATTTGCTTTCACTAAATAAATGTAAGTAGATATGTTAGCTTCATTTTATAATATTGTTTCTTTTTTAGATAATAGGTGGCATTACCACGTATATATTAATCTTGATACAACTCCTGTTTATGTCGAGTTCTTGCGGTGGAAAATCTGTATAACATATGGTTTAACAGA